AGGTAACATTTATATTATATGATATTATGTGACCCAAATTTTTGACCTTTATGTAGAAAATAGATCCTCGACAAATAAGGCAATCAGCTAAAATAGTTCAGACCTTATAAGGGTAAGGTTAAGTAATGTAATAGGATTTCAAAATATCTTTTGAGGTTAATTTTAAATGGCATGTGATGTGTTATGATGACCAATCAGATAATAAAAGTAATCAGATTTTCTACCAAATAATTGGTAAAAGTAAGGTCTGACAAAGAGAAAGAAGCTGCTAGTTAAATCAGGTATGTTTCCTTTCCAAGATTTTAATCTATTTCTATTATTATGCATAATATTATTATCATTAGGTTCGTTAGTTTAGTCAGATTTCAAAACAATCATATTCACATTTTATTAATTTAAAAATTAAATATCAATGATCTCCTCACACACTTGTATTCCATTATTGTTTAAGACAGTTTAAAACAGTGGAAGTTTGTTTAAAAAAAATATAGACTGGCGTGGTGTGGTCTATTTTAGTAGATCCATGGGGTGGTCATAGTGAGGTCACCAAATCACGTGACTAATTGTAAGAGGAAGTAAAAGCGAAAGTAAAAATAGCATTGGAATAATTTCAAAATACAACCATTCCGTAAAAGCACGAAACTATATGATTCACGACAGAGACCGGCCAAGCGATGCTATATAGCAATTAATTGATCACATGTATTATATGCCGATAAGATTTTTTGTTGATTTTTTGACCGCGATGGCCGTGACAGGAAATGACGTTTAGTGTGAAACTTGACCCTGATCCGACAGAAACCAGGCAGTACTATACTTCTTTATCGATTTTGTCCCGAGCCACACACCGCTTCGGTGCGGCTGGCGCTGTCGTGATGAGCCCCTCGGTGCCTTGCTGAGTTCCCGAGCTGTCCAGTCGGGACCACCGTAACCGCCATGGCCTCCCCCTATCCCCGGTGCACATCTGTCAGACTCCCTGCTCTGACCGCGGCTGTCGCTCTGCTCCTGGCGGCAGTGACCACGGTGGAGTCCTCACAGGGCGACAAGGAGCCTGTTTACCGGGACTGTGTCAAGCAGTGTGTCCGCATCAACTGCACCGGAGTCCGGTTGAAAGGCTTTGAGTCCACCCAGCCGCCCTACATGGCGCTCACAGGTGAGACTTCTGCTTCTTCAGGTAGATGGTGCTAACTTGCTAACAGTGGGCATGATGTTATAACAATGTTGTTGATTATGACTTATTTATTTACTTATTTATTTATTTTACCTCGAGTAGCATTTGCTATAACAAGCTTATACGTGAATATGTTAAATATTTATTTACCAGGCTGTCTGGTATATAATGTATATAAAATTTGATTATTGCACAATTGTTTGTTTTGGGTCTTTGTGAGTAGAGTGCAGTGCCATAATATATTTTTACTTTCTGAACTGCCGTGGTTAAATAAAAACCAAAATAAAAATGCATAGATAATATACAGAATGAAGACATGCATCTAACAGTGACACTAATTTCAAACCCGGTTTTTCTTGTTGAGTAAATTGTAACAAGGGCCAGTAGATTATTCTGTCCTTGCTGATTCATTAAAACAGTGCTTTGTGACACTGTAGTGCACAGCTGACAGGCCTACGGATTCATTTGATGGTATCAACTGCTCTCTCATAAACATTTTTAAAATAAAGAGTTTTATTATAAAGTATTATTCTTCTCTTCCTCTCAGGCTGGACATGCCGTGATGACTGCCGTTATCAGTGCATGTGGACCACTGTGGGTCTTTATGAGGCAGGGGGCTACAGGGTTCCTCAGTTTCATGGCAAGGTATGTGCTCTTACTCACAGGACTGTATCAAACTTTTTCCACAGTCTTTTTAAATAAAAATAATTACAAAAAATAAATACATGATTTAAAATTCTGTTCTCAGTGGCCCTTCGCTCGTTTCTTGTGTTTTGAGGAGCCCGCCTCTGCCCTGGCATCTCTGCTGAATGGTCTGGCCTGCCTCCTCATGCTTCTGCGCTATCGCAGCACTGTGCCACGACAGAGCCCCATGTACCACACCATCAACGCCTTCTCACTGGTGGGGCTAAATATAGACAAGTGCAATAGGATTGTAAGCATAGTTAATCGTAACATTCAAAGTCATATGTATTTTAGGTCTCTCTAAATGCCTGGTTCTGGTCCACAATTTTCCACACCCGGGACACATATCTTACTGAGGTACTGAGCAGTTCTTGGATATGAAAATGAGCACATTGAATTAGTAAACAGCATGTCTTTTTTTTTTTTTTTTTCAGAAAATGGATTATTTCTGTGCGACAGCTGTCATTCTCTACTCAATTTACTTATGCTGCGTCAGGTAAAATGTTTGTGCAGAATGAAATTGACAATTTGTCTGATTTCAGTATTTCACTTTGTAATAAACACTTAATTTTTCTGCAGAACATTGGGTCTGAAGCGGCCGGGGGTGTCCAGCATGGTGGGCGTCCTGCTCATTCTGGTTTTTACATCACATGTTTCCTACTTGACCTTTGTCAGTTTTGACTATGGCTACAACATGCTGGCTAATGTTTCTATTGGTAACACATATATACGTTTAAATGAGATGAGTCTTGTATATGCTTAATGCCTTTATGTTTGTAGATTGTACCTACATGGTGTTTTATTTTGTTCAAGGCATGGTGAACCTGCTGTGGTGGCTGTGCTGGTGCTGGCAGAACCGGAGGACCCTGCCGTACTGGTGGAAGTGTGGCCTGGTGGTGCTGCTCCTCCATGGGCTGGCTCTACTGGAGCTGCTTGACTTCCCCCCACTGCTCTGGGTGTTTGATGCTCATGCAGTCTGGCACCTCAGCACCATCCCTGTTCACTTCCTCTTCTACAGGTTTGTGCCCTCACCTGTTCACCATCTGTCAAAAAGACTGATTATAACATTGCAATATTTTTCTTAACAGCTTTCTTATAGATGACAGCCTGTACCTGCTAAACACAGAAAAGTTAGGAGTGAAAGTGGAGTAGAAGGAGTCTGCCCCCTCATCATCATATCCTAGCACCTTTTCAGTCACTGACACAAGACAGGTCCATTGCTCCAGATGATGTGTGACACCTTTGAGACTTTCACTGGAGGAGATACTGTTTACATAATTGAGTCATGCCACATTTAATTGAAACAATATGTTGTAAAGGATTTTTCATCTATTCTAAAATGTAACACCTTCAATTACATCATTTGACTACATGCAAGTCCACTTCCATCAGCTTCAGTGAGCAATTAAGAAAAAGATCAGCAGTTTGCTGTAGCTGACAATAGAGGGCACCAGTTCCTTGCTAGTCCATCCCTTGCATCCCATGCACTGTGCAGGAGCACAGCATGAGCCAGGCTCCAGTGCCAAAAGTGGAGTGAGCACTGAGGGGTGCCCTTGTGAAGAGGGGGCAGTGGATTGTTCCCGACATTGGGGTAAAAGGGTTTATGTTTGGAAGCGTTTCCAGCTGACTAGGTTTTTTTTTCTCCATCGCACCTTTATTTCTGTGCCTACATTGTTTCCATTGCTGCTTTGTCTTGTATTCTTCATCATCATTTACAACTTTATTTTAACTTTTATCCAATGCCTTAATTACTTTGCACAATGTTTTAATTGCAATCTGCTTTCACTTGAAAGTACTGTAAAAGATTGATATGCTTCAACCAGATTGCCTTATAGAGAGAGCGAAAGTATCGTAGCTTTACATTTAGCACATCATCAGTCACCTCGACACACTCTTTACTGCAACCATAAAGCTGCTCTTTTTGATCTCTTCCACCTGAAGCTGCTTACACCAAATATTCCACTTAATAATTCCTTTGTGCTTTTTTTTCTTTTCTACCCATAACTTTGCCTTTTGATTTTTTTCCTTGCCTTTTCTGACTTTCTCCATATTAATTGTCCCCTTCATTTTAAATCCATGCACTTACTTCAGCATATGTCTTCTCAGAGGTCCTTTCCAATTGTGCACTTTAGGGGTGTGTGCCGTCTACATGTACATGCCTTTGTATGACACTGTGAGAATGTGAACAATGAGCAGTATGCATGTAACCATTGCCTTGACGCTGTTGTTTTTGCCATCACATGTTGAAACCCTGCATCCCACACAGATTGTACTGGATCCCTTTGTAATACCTCTGATGTGGCAGAGTGGTTTGCTGCATGACTGTGGCAAGGTAAATTTAACAGTTGCTGACAGCCTGTGAAAGGGATGGGGGAGACCAGAGGGGCCAAAAAGTGGACACTAATTTGGGTCAAAACAATTTCTTAATTTTACATAGATTGAAACTATACACTACCATGCTCACTTGACAACAACTTGATAACTATATCCAGTTATCACACAGTCACAACCTAACCCCTGCTTGCTCCCCTGTGCACTTTCCTCTCATAAAACCTGACCAAAAAGATGGAACAAATAAACTTTTACTGATAAGAATGTACCTGTTTAGTATTTGATTTGTACACTTGACTTGACAAAAACTGAAGGTACACTGTGTAACTTTTTTGTTGGAGCATCCACCATCTTCTTGTCTTTGGAAATGTTATTCCTTTGTCTGAATACTCCACAGTATGGCTTTAAAACTATCTACCTCCATAGAGACAAGCAGGTTGCACTAAGTAGCAGGTTAGATTAGAAGTGGTGAGAACAAGAATCTGGATTAAATCAAATTTAATAAAATATTTTTAGATGAAACTAGAAAAAAACTGCACTTTGGGAAACAATTTTAAGTCAATGCGTCACATAATCCCACAAAAAAAAAATATATATTTTCTTTTTTTTAGCTGAATCCCAGAATAACATGAGCAAGGGCTTGTCTTCAATGGAATGCCATCTTTTGTCCAAATACGCAAATACAAACTAAACTTTTATGAAATTTCTGGGCTATGTTTCATATTGAGAAGGTTTTTTTTTTTTGGTGTTTCCTGATAGCCGTGTGGTGCAGAAGTCTGGACTCTGACCCTGGTGCTGTGGGTGGGGAGGGCACATGAATGGAGCTTATTCTTCCTCTGCAGCTCCTGACTCTGAGTGTGGAGACAGAGACATGAGAAATGTGAGAAAAAGGGATGCTTATGTGGATGACTTTAAATGCATAGGGGAAAAGAAATTAAAACTATTGAACTGTCGCTTACAGTCAGCGTCACCACTGGGTCTAATGGAATAATGGTGCTAGAATGGGAACTTACATGACAGATGATTTTTCAGGAAGTGAAAATGAATGATCTGAAAATCAACTAAAGATGACATTTTCTGAGTATCTCAAGTGTTCATTTGACTATTTATTTATTTATTTTATATATAAATGTTGTTTTTTCAAAGACTAAATACATTTTGCTCATGCAGTAGGTCAGAAGGCCAGTGTTCACTAGGACATTGTTTTGGATACTGGTACAGATACAAAAATAGACCCAAACAGACTTCTAGTTTGTGTATAAAAATAATAATAATAATAAAAATCATCATGCAGACCAAACCAGACCAAATTACAGATCAGATCTGTGGAGAGGCAACCTCACTCACATTCAGAATACCTGTTTTTCTATGTATTTTTGAGGAATAAAACCACCTGTAATTGAATAAATATAAATAGGCTAGATCTGTTTAATGTTATACTGAGGAACATTTCAAGCAGAGTAATGACATATCTGTAAGAACAAGGACACAGACCCCCACTGAAAACTGACATAGTTTTAAGTAAAATATTATATCATCATAACTGCTGAAATACTAGGCCTATAAATATTTTATGGGAAGATTTAGTAAATTAATTAAGTGAATTGGGCATAATTTTAAAAAATGAAGAAGACCTGCGTTGATTTTCAACACAAAATTTTGAAAAGAAAATCAAAATACCCATAAATACACTGATCCCAGGTCAGTGCATATGCCTAATGTCTGTGATTTTGTCATCAGTAGTCATTATACAGAACTGTTTTAGGCAATTAAAAAGTATAAATGAACCAAGTTCTATTGAACACATAATGGTTCCAAAGAACTGCATAACCTGGATTAATGTATTGTCGCAGAGGCCTACATTAGATAAGTGAGTTTAAAGTCAGGGCGGGCTGAAACCTGCCACTCCCCGCTCAGATCCACTGTGTGCGGTGTCGGGAGCGCGCCTGCCCGGACCATTGCGCTGTCACGCTTTACAACAGACAGCAGGAATTCAAGAGGAAGTCAATCCTCTGGAAAATCAGCGCTACTCACTCACAAACGTGATCAAAACGCCCCCGGAAAGGAAGCAGAAAGTTCACCGCCACGTGTTGGGATTAGCTATAACTTCTTATTTTGGAGAATGGATTAAACAGGCCAAGTTCCCGCAGATGGACGCGGTGAGAAGTTTGGCGTTTGTCGGGGCCGTGCTCCTCGGAGTGACGGGCACGTTGGGCAGAGAAGGTGGGTATAACTTTAGCAGCGGAGCCTGTTACTACACTGGAACAACCATGCAATAACGACGGAACCACGCGTTCTGTTAAAACGTGTTAGTGGGTAGACTTTTGTTCAGTTTGAGGTGTAGTTGAGATTTAAGGCGTTGGTATTCCCAGCCACATTCCTTTTTGCAGCCTTGTCCCCATTTAGTCACCACTGTTGGGTTTTGCGAGGCATTGATTCAGTGAAAAGACGCACCTGTCACTACGCAGCGTTAAAAAAGACTTGCAAAGAAAATAACTTGCATTGCTTTTCATACACACAGCATGCACAGAACTGTTTGCAAATCAGTCAACACATTCTTATACACAGAGAGACTCGGAATCGACGTCAAACCGACTTGCTCTGTGCGTAAACAAAAACAAACTTGGTTCAACAGTCCGTGCATTGTGTGCCAAGGATCATGACGATGTCAATTATTCACTTGGGCTCCAAACGGGACATTGTTTCATAGAGGGCCACTTGTCACACTGGGGTCTTGAGTGAATGCCAGTAACACAAGGAGCTAAGTGAAAGTGCAAACATAAAACTGTACGCAATATATGTTTTACGTTTGCTTATTTTTATTTTCCACAATAATGGTGGTTGAAAAAGGCTTTTGCTTTTTGTGAATGTGAATCCAGTTGTGAATCATTTTAGCTGGAACTGATGCTGAAGGCGAAATATTGACTTAACTATGAAAGCACTTTGATGCATTGCACTTGTTAAATTGTGCAGCACTACATCTAGGACAGCAATGCAATTTATAGAGTAGCCACAAACTGTATTCATTTTGGGCCTAGGAAGTATGAAGTTCTCACTGAAATGCTCATAGAAAAAGGAGAATAAACTTTTCTGTAAACTATTCAACTTCTCTGAAGATTTGTAAATGGATTGTAACTTCAAATAATACAAACATAGTAAATCTTAGAAGAGGCCTAAAAATAATTCAAAAGGTTACCACAGAAATGTAAAGCATTTGTATTTTCGTCAAACTGCAGACATGACTAATAGACTGTCTTGAATCTCATCTTTCATTATTTAACACCACGGAGCTTGCTACACACAAACAAACAAAGACAATTGTCACAGATGAAGAGATTTTTTATTTTTTTTTAATATCTGCATTGTTGAGAAGAACAGGTCTGTGCACATTACTTACCCCACAACATCAGTCTCCAGCTGATTGTTCAAACAACACATGCAAACAGATGTCAACACTGTCCCTTCTAGTACCGTAGTGGGAGCAGGGACACGTCAACAAATGTATCATTCCAAAGGTCGCTAGATAAAATTTGTATTTCCTGGATGTGTTTTTGAATAAAGACAGGAAAGTGGGCAGTCATTAGTCAAACGTAAATATATTAATTTAACTGTAGCTTTAACAAAATAGTCCTAGATGCAGACAGTGAAATAAGCACTCCAATAAAATATATATTGTCTTTTATCTGTTTCTGCCAGATTGTAAAACATCTTGCTTAACTTTTGGAGCTGCAAATTCACCCTGGAAGCAAGCTGAAGTCTCAAGATTCATGTCAGCTTTTGGGGTTTTAGTTGAAAATACTTTGATGAGTAAAGAGTCTTAAGACATGCCCTTTGCATCTATTAATTGACTAATGGGAGTGTAATGCTGACTCTTTGTTTCTCTATGATCTGACCATGCACCTGACCGATACTACACAGTGTACACCATATTAACATACAAAGCATAGAGAAGTAAACGGCATCTTCATCTCTCAAACATCAGCTATCTCACTCCATGTACTCTCCGTTCTGCTGTTGTAAAAGAAACTAAATCATCAAGTCCCATAAAAAATGTTTGTAAGATACAAATTTTAGTTGACTAATACATCATCAACCGATTAGTCGACAACAGCCTTACAGCTTTTTATTATGTTATGTATTATCGTAACTCTGGTAACCTGCTAGTGGATCCACAAACATTACTAGTTTAATAACCAGGCTTTTTGCTGTTGTAAAGACATGCGACTGTTCACTGTTTTGTCCCTCTCACACACGATCGCATCCACAGGCAACACAGTCGTCCAAATTAGCCTCATTAGATTCAGGGTAAATCAGCCATGACTCTGTTCAGTCTGCTGTCAGTGATCTGTGAGCGGGGGGACTGGGCCAAGACCAGACAATACAACTTCATTAGACAGTGTTCTGCCAAAAGTTGTGCAATTACTCAAACTTTAATTCACAATGAGCAGAGTTTAACACAATGTTGATAAGACCAAATAAGATGAAATAAAAGCATTAAGATAGTTAAATATGAGGAATAGTATTTCATTTTTTTCACCTAGCTATACTTCTGTCCTAAAATGAATTTATGCAGCACATTTCTTTTCAATATAATTTGAAAAAGATTACAAAAGGTTTTAGATAGCAATTGATGCAGCAAGTAGGCATCTAAAATAACTACTACCTTTTTTGTTTTACATTAAACTTTTATTCTGAAAACTGAATCATCAAAATTGTTAAAAGCATGGCAAATATGTGTCAATTTAATTTTACACATCCACAAAAACTATATGAAATCAAACATATCAATTTATATTTAAGTAATCTGCTTAAAAAGTAATAGTAAATAATAGACTGAGTTGTTTTGTGACCAATGCGTAATGAATCCCTTGTATATTGTTTCATGTATAATTACTGTGTTTTGAAACTGGAGTAAGACCAGAATAGTGCATTTCTCATTGTAAACCGCGTAGTGCTACTGTGAGTGAGTCTTCAGCAACTGTACTTCTGTCACATCACTGATCCTGTTCGGCTTGTCTGTTGAGCAATACCTGTTTTCTCTTCATTGGCAGCAGAGTGAACAGAAAGAATGTGCGAGGAAAGTGTAGAGTTTGAGCAAGACACATAAAAGAAGAGACTGCCATAGCTGAAATTGGGGTAATGATATTGGTGTCTAGTTTTATTGTCTGGCTGTGGTATATAATGTAGTACTTAAGCAGTTGGTAGAAGTAGTGTGGTTACAAGTTATAGTAGAAGAAGTGATCAAACTAAAATTGTAATTGTTCCAAAAGTTACAGCATATTGGATCACAAGATTTTATATGCCTACATTCATTGTTTTATAGAAGGAACCAGCTAAAATGCAGAGAAAACTATAGTCCACAGTCTCCCTACCTCTAATTCAGTAAAACCAAAGAACAAAGAGATTTTTATTCAAAACTTTAACTTGACAGGAATGAGGTATTGAAGACTGAACAGTCTTCAGAAAAGGGGAAATATAGTTCAGGTTGCCAATACTGACAATAAATCAAGATTTAAATTTCTACTTCCTTTATTATCTCAATGATTTTCAAACATCAACATTTTCAAATGTTTTGATAATCTATCAGAAATGTGCTAAAACACATCTGCAAAATAAGTCTTGTTTGGGGTACAAGTATCACACTTAACGTGAAAGTGCCTTATCTTTAACCACAAAAGTGCATACATTTCACTTTGTCCAACTTCAAAACAACATTTGTGATCTATTTTTCGATTTATCTCCCACCCTTAAGTAGTAAGTAATTGCAGTAGTAATAGTACAGTTCTAGCAGTTGTCTTGTAATCTGTTTAAATGGGGCAGAAGTGTCATGGCGGCCATGTTGCTGTCACCTGCACAGGCTGGTAAACACACACTCCCTGAGCTAACTGGCACTCATCCACTCACAGGTGTGGCTGCAGCTTTTACTTTTGTATTGCAAGGGTATGGGACGCTACCACATCAAAACCAAAGTGAAGCCAGATCTCACATAGAAATATGGTTTGAATGAATGAAGAATAAATCTGAAGGTTTGTACAAAAATATAATTTGAATTCATTTCTGCACCAGCATTACTTGCACCTGTATTTTATTTGGATAAAGCCACAACTTTGTATCTCTTTTGATGCAACTGGTTGATCATTTGTTTACAGTAGAAAGCACAAGCAGTCTTCTGGATCTTGCAGTATTGTAGTTGTAATTTACCACTGTCATTTGGTAATTTTAAGTGTAGTTGATAATATTCATGCAATCACAAATGTATACTTTGTCATAGTAGGGATGGGTGGCATTTTGGTGGTTCAAGGCTTGTTGATCGAGTGTTGCACAAAGAAGGGCATCTTGATAAATACCTGATATATCTAACAATTTATGGAAGTGATGAAATTTATGGAAAATGATAGAATTTATGGATGAAAACTTTATGGAAGTAATGGTCTTTTGACTGTGGTGATACCAAAAAGACGTTAAAGTAAAGATTTACTATTGACCTTTAATTGACATTTTAATTGAATTGCCAACATGTCCTTTAGTCATGGAGGCGTGTTCCTATTCTCTAACTAACACGTTATTACAACAAACTTCATATGAAATTACTCATCACCATTTCAAGTAGGTGCACAATGCTGTTCTACTAGGATTGATAAGTGCTATGTAGAATCTACTCAAGGAGACTTATGTAAGACAATAGTAAATATGTTGCCAGATAGTGAGACAATGAATTTGATTGCACAACACTTAAGTTGAGTAAGAGACAAATAAGCAAGCATATAATTTAAAAATATTAATTAAAAGAATGTAACTATAGCTTATAGGGCCAGCATTCATTGTGATTAATTGCAAATTTGTGATAACTGCTGACATATTTTTTAAATACTTTTAAAAACTTTGATCATAAAAAAATTCTTCGAGTTGATTATAATGGAGCAGAGCAAAGTTCCATCTGTCTTTACCACTGCATCTTAAAATCCGCTACAGCACCACGGTATTACTATTGCTAATACGTTACACACCTAATTAAATGTTTTAAGGAAAGTTTACAAGACAGTCTCCGTAACTCTGCTTGTGTGGTAAATTTTTATATGTTAAGGTGACTCTTCGGACTCGGGGTGGCATTATGACCTCCAAAGTTCAAAGGTCACTGACAGATTCAGAATTAAGACACAGATGAGGAACCTGCACGTGTCATCTGTGGGTTATGTGAAAAGCTACACTCACTCTTCTAAGTCCAATCTCTAATATCTGTGTTGCGAAAACTAAACCAATAATTACCATTTGAATAAAATTTCAATAATTCAGTCGACATAACTTGGAATAGAGTGATTGAAAGACTGTAAGCAGCAGTGGGCAGATATGGAGCCATAGGGGACACCAGAGCAGATAGCTGGGGAGTATTTTAGGCCTCAAAGTGGAGGAGGGTGGGCTTCACAAGGCCATGCACACATTCAGATAGTGCTGTGAAATCTAGTGAGAAGTGGCCATTTATACATTTACAAATGTTCAAGTTACTTTAAAAATGTCAAATGTATGTGTAGAATTGTATATTGTCAGTAATTGTAGAATTGTAGTTAATTATGTCACTTTTTAAATTGGTGGAACTCCCAACACATGGGCCAGGGTCGCAAGCCCTCAATTTGAGAATTGTGGTTCTATAATGTACACAAGAAAGAAGATGTTGTTGCAAATAGTTGTGCATTTCCAGAGCTGGTCTGGGCTTGGCAATGTACTGCCCAGTCTTTCTTACTGTCTCACTACTGCTCATAGAATGACTGTCTCTCCTGAGTAACACAGTGATAGATGATGAGGAAAGAGGTAGCCTACATAAGTTTGGGGGATGGGCAGGTAGCTGATCTACAAGTATTTTTATTACTTTAAAGATTTGGGCATTCTTTATCTTGAATGTTGTGTTTGTGATCAACCCTTTTATTTGATATTTGATACTACTTGCGCTCATGTATTTTTGGATCACTAATAATCGTGACGCATGTGTTGCACTGGGACCCTCAGAAGCGAATCAAGCCTCTGGCACTTGTTACATGATCTTTGCTTCTTTAGTTCAAAATGTGCTTTTCAGGGCCATGCTTTTTACATAGAATAAAACAGATCACTAAGGTTGAATTTTTTAAAGTGCCACCATTTCTCCCACAAACTACAAAATATCCTGTTATTACTGGTATGCATAACAGCTGTAAATCATGTAGTGTAGATCTGTACAAACTCTAAAATATAATTCTCATATTTCTTCTGTCAGTTCTTCTGTACACATTTGATAATAAGACATTTTTCTGAAATCATTCAGCCCTATTATAATTCTTCATGTTTTTAAATGATTGTTTTAACTTTAGTAGAATTGATCCACAGATGGGATAGCCCAGAACATGGGGGTTGGCTCTTGGAGGAGGAGGCCAGAGGAAGTCATTTATAACCTCAGGGCAGGGGACAGTCCACTCTGTGACTGTGGCCTGAAGTATGGCAGCTATGTGTCTGTAACAGCGCCCTTGGATTGTAACATTTTTGACCCTGAATATAATACTGTGACCGACCATTGAGGGATCTCCACTCACTGTGGAAAATAAATCACAGGCCAATAAAGTCCAAGCTGAAGTACATGGGGCTGAACTATTTTGTACACAAACACTTTACTTAATGGTAGTATATAAACTAAATATAACATAACACTATTTAGGTAAAATTGTCATGTCATATCATTCCTTATTCTCTATGCAAAGCCTCAGTAATGCTGAGTAACAGGTAGATTTCATCATATTTGTAATCAAGTGTGAATGTCCAGAAAAAGCAGATTACTTAGTTATCTCTTGAAGGAAATATAAAGATATGATAGATAAAGTTTAGATGCATTGTGATAAAATCAAGACCATAATCTGGCTCCAATAAAATTGTAATTTTTCTTGGTTGACATATCCCATATCCCCACAAAACAATACAGTACTTTACCAAAGATTACTTATTACATATTCATTATAATCAAGATAAAAAAGAGTACTCAAAAATCCTTACTCAATAAATAATAAAATAATGTTTAACACTTTTCCATGTTAATCTATTAATGTGTGACTTGCAGTGTGTCTCGGCACGGACATGAAGTTGGCCCTGCCCTCCAGTCTGGAGAATCACTACGAGACCCTGAGGCTTCTGTACACTGGGTGCAAGGTCGTCCATGGCAACCTGGAGATCACGCACCTCCATGGCAACCCAGACCTCTCCTTTCTACAGGTGCCAAGCATTTGAAAATATAATGACTCTGGTTTATGCTAGCCTTAGATTTCTGGACATTGACTTATGAAATCCACAATTAGTTTTTAAATGTACCATAGTACTTTTCTTATTTTTTCTCCTAAATAATTGTTTATGTTAAAGAGTGATTAAATTGACTCTGCTTTGTGGCTCTAAAGATCATGAACCTGTTAACTATAATGCTATCATAATACTGTGGGCACTATATTCTGTATACAATGGCAATGGTACAGATTGACAGCCTCACTTCTGTCAGTTTGCCCCTGGGCATCTGTGTCTACTATAGTAGCTTACCACCTCTGTGAAGCGTCTTTGAATGTCTAAAAAGCTCTACATAAATCCGACGCACTATTATTATTATATTATTGCATACTTCTGAATATATTATGGAAAATTCAATGTTGTTAGACATTTACACTCCTTTCTTTGCTCGATGGCATTTTTGAACAGTAAATTTACATTTTCATCAGTACAGTATATTAGATGTTTACTGTATAGACTATATCTTTTTGTGACCTTACAATGACCATCTTCCTTCTTTTTATTTCCCAGGGTATAGTGGAGGTGCAAGGGTATGTCCTCGTAGCTCATGTATCTGTAGATCTGGTGCCACTGGATAACCTTCGTATCATTCGGGGGTCCCAGCTGTACAACGGCAGCTTTGCCTTGGCTGCACTTGAAAACATGCAGGCAGGGCGGGGGCTCAGGACACTTAGGCTCCGTAGTCTCACAGGTGCAGACTCAGATTTGAATGATTTTAGTGATTATTTTTGGTGAAAGTATTGTTCCTCAAGCATCTCATTGGTCCTACAGAGATTCTGGTGGGTGCAGTCTATATTTGGAACAACCCTCAGCTGTGTTTCCCAGACCCCCATAGCATCGTGTGGCGGGACACTTTAGACGAACAAAACATTCACGCCAACAAACACAAACTGCAGAAGCGGGCTGCTAACTGTAAGAGTAATTCACTTCGTGTCATTTAGTGATGTAGGTGAACACAACCTATTGAGTTTTATAAAACATTTACCTCTTTGAATTGTGTATTTCAGGTCCAAGTTGTGCATCTTCTTGTAATAAATCCTGCTGGGGGGAGACTGCACAGGACTGCCAAACATGTGAGTCACTGGTATATGTAGTGTATAGCTGAAAGAAATATATAAACTGGAATTTTTAACAGTCAATGCATATGTTATAGAACTATTTTAATTTTATATTCAATATTATGTGCATATCCCATATCTAGATAAATTATTAGAGCTGCAACTTTCATCAGTGATTGCTGCTTTTCTATCTATCTACATTGTGTAACTTTACATTAGTTATGCATCTTTAATATACTGTTACTGTAAATTATGAATAAATAAGCTATGTGGATGTTTTCTATAATATTGGGGGCTTTTTTTGTTTTTGTTTTTTTTGTATTATTTTCCACAGTGACCCGCATTAGTTGTGCCTCTGGCTGTCAACGCTGTAAAGGTCCTTTCCCCAGCGACTGCTGTCATTTGCAGTGTGCTGCTGGGTGCACTGGGCCCAAAGACTCAGACTGCCTGGTAAAGAGCAAGAGCAATTTGCCATTAGTATTTTATATCTATATATGTGTGTGCCTTATTCTTATCTGTACTTCTTTACAGGCATGTCGTCACTTCAATGACAGTGGAGTTTGTAAAGAGAACTGTCCTCCTCCCACCATCTACGACCCTGCGATCTTTCAGACCAAACCCAACCCAGACAAGAAATTCAGCTTTGGGGCCACCTGCGTGAAGACCTGTCCATGTAAGCTGATATTTTTGTATTGAATACATATATGGTGTAAAAGTAGTGTCATTGTGATTTATTATTACTGTCCCTGACCCTATTGTGGCCAACATTATTGTGAAATGGAAATGGTTTGGCCCAGTTAGGTTCACTGCAATCTTTTGACTTGGGACAAACCTGTTACCAAGCTAAGTTGTGGACCTTTGGTTGGTTAAAGAATAATGTCATTGTGATTTTTATACAAAGACCCTATGATTATTGCAGTTAATTACAACATTATATACACACAGACTCATTACATTTCATAGCATTGTACAGCCTAACTAGTTGGTGCCCTTGTCATTGTTGTTTTTCAGATAACTACCTGTCTATGGTTGTTGCATGTACTTTGGTTTGTCCTAAATCAAACCAGGAGGTAATCCTCACAAACCCAGATGGAAGTGAGACCCAGAAGTGTGAAAAATGTGAAGGCGACTGTCCAAAAGGTTTGGTTCATTTTGTTTTTATGTTTTCTAAAGTTTGTAGTTTCTGTGAGGACGTATGGTCAGAAATACAGTGCGGTTGTATTGTGTGTTTTTTCTGTCTGGCATTGTGATTGAAAAGGGATGATTAATTAGTTCTATACAAAATCTGTTGTTTTGACTCTTCACATGCTAACAACGGGAAAGCTGAACAAACCTGTTTTTTCACTTCCTTGTTATTGCGCCAGGTGTTTGTCTTACCAGTTTTAAGAAAATAAAAGCCCTGACCATATTAACATTTTGCCTACTTACACAATATAAAATAAAGGGGAAACACTGAAAAGTACATGTTTTGCAATACAAAAAAGAAATTTCTCACCAAATATGTATATCATAAAATATTTGTTTTACAATATAGTTTCAGAAAATTCTTTATTATGTCACCAACTCACTTTTGAAATTAAACTAGATGTCTTTCCTAATAAGCACACTATTTTGGTCTATCAGTCTTAACCCAAATGTGTGTTTTTGTTGCAGTGTGCTATGGTTTGGGCATGGAGCACCTTGGCATTGTCACTATGGTTACTGCTGCCAATGTGGAACAGTTCAGCTCCTGCAAGAAGATTTTTGGCAGCCTGGCCTTCCTCCCCCAGAGCTTCGCAAGGTGAACAGTCATTGCACATCGTATACTGTACAAATTTTTTTTTTACATTATGAAATCACTGTTGTATTAACATAATTTAACATTGATTAGTGACCCTGTGACCAATACATCAGGCCTCACTCTAGAGCAGCTCAGGGCTTTCAGGAGTGTGGAGGAAATAACAGGTACTAACCAAATGCAAATTCATGAATGTCACATTTTACCTTCATACTAAGATTTTTCAATGTTGTAAATCTTAAATAACAGGATATCTTTATATTGATGCCTGGCCTGAAAACATGACAGATCTGAGCGTTTTTGAAAACCTGAAGGTGATTCGTGGAAGGATGCTTTACAAGTAAGACAATTCATAACTATGTTTATGTTATGGAAAAGGGTGAATCTTAGCTTTGACGATAACTGTATAAAAATGTAAACTGTGTGCCCTCACTGTTTTTGTGGCTTTGTGCATGTACATATCAGTCAGTCTGTCTGCTGTTTGTTCCCATTCTGAGCTATAAAAGCTAATAATTAGCTAACCAACACAGACATAACTCTGGGGTGAACTTAGCATTTTAAAAGTAAGTCAGATGTATCTTTAGTGTATTTTTGTCAACACCTCCCCCAAAATGAACACCATTCAGTGTAAAAGGCCAACTCAAAATGTAATTAAATAACACAGTAATAGATTGATCGTAAATTGAGAAACTGATAACATGATAACATGATAACTTGTGTTCCAGGGGTGTCTTTTCACTGGCGGTCCAGAATCTCCACATTGAGTCTTTAGGGCTGCGTTCACTGCACAGTGTCAGTGGAGGCCTGGTTATGTTGCACAATAACCCTCAGCTCTGCTACACCAGCTCATTGCCCTGGGACACCCTTCTCCATCCCACTCAGGGCCCACATTGCATCATCAGCCAAAACCAAGACCCCCAAACCTGTAGTAAGCACTGAGCAGTTTCTAGACTATTATTTATTAATGTATTTAAGTGTATTGTGTGTTTTATTATTACGTTTATTTGTTGTGGAATATAAATGAATAATGAATCTGTTATGGGCATTATGACCCCCTAAAGATAAGGACAAATGATTTCTCTGTAAATGATTTGATTAAACCTTATCTGTACACATCTGTAGAGCCTCATGTATGGTTATTATATCATAGATATTTGATTTGTGTTTACCTTTCACGATTACAGAGGCCCAAGGGCATGTGTGCCACCCATTGTGTAAAGGGGGATGCTGGGGTCCCGGGCCAAGCCAGTGTGTGTCCTGTAAATATTTCCAACGTGGGACAGAGTGCATCGAGCAGTGCAATGTCGACCAAGGGTACTGTTTATTTATTTAACAGTATTTTTTATTCTTTAATATACACTCAAAATTACTAAATGTTATTATTCATTTGAATGCTATTAATATTTGATTAATAATACAATGTTACAATATGTACTTTTTAAGCTATATTCCTGATATCAAAGGACAATCATTCTCAAATTGCACCAACATAGTACAATAGGGTACCTTACACATTTCCATGTGCAATATTTTGAGCTATTTGAACTACTGACATTGTTTTTATTGCCTGCAAAACTACACCATATTTAAATCATATACAACTGATTTTTAATGATGACTAAATGTTTTATAGTTGGTGTGGATATGTTAGGAGTGTGTTGGTGTTGACACAAACTGCATTGTTGGTTATTTGCAGAGGGGCCTTCTGTCTAAAAATGACCCTCCTTATGACAGTGTCAGGTGCTGGGGATAAAAGCATCACCCAAATGCCTCTGTGTTTTAGAGTATAATTTGGCCCTTTGTGCTTGCCTTACAGCCTTGTGCGTGAATATGTTGACGGATCTTTGTGTGTGGCTTGTCACGCAGAGTGTGAGCCTCTTAATAACACTGCCGCCTGCCATGGACCGGTAAGAATGCAATTCTCAAAATAAATCCACAACTATTATCAAGCTACTTATAGTATATGGTAAGGTGGGGCTATGCTGGAAAGGATTTTATAATAGTTTTGACAATGTTATAATAGTTAAATTATGATATTATAATAGTTTTGACAATGCACTTTTATAAATGACAATTTATCATTATCATACACAGTATGTTACATCGATATAAACTAAATCTAACATCAAAAGTCAGGTCTTGTGTAGCTGAACTAGGTAAAAGTAGCTAGTAACCCTGAATGTGTTACTATAGCTGAAGCCAAACCTAGTATAGCGAGTAATCTTAACACAGTATTACTGGTTATTGTTTATGTTGCTTTTCAGGGAGCAGACATGTGCACAGAGTGTCGAAACTTCAAAGATGGAGACTTTTGTGTAGATCACTGTCCTAGCGGAGTCAAAGTGGACCAGATTTATATTTGGAAATACAGTGACGCTGATAGGAACTGCCAGCCCTGCAACACCAACTGCACCCTATCGTAAGAAGCCCTTATGTTTAAAAACACATTACACATTAACTTTATTACTAAGGACTCTTCCCATCTGCTTCGTAGCTCCTTCACACTGTTACAATCAGGCAAAGTCCCTTTGGCCCTTAAAAATATATACAAAAAATCCTTCATTCCAAATGTCATTGCCTTTCTGAAATCTACACGATGAGCTCAGACCGCTGCCAGGCAGGTGCAGATTGGGCCTTGGACTTTTCCCCAACATTCGGGGGAGCAGTCCATGGAGGGGGGGTGGATGGGGGGTGGATGCAGCGGCCCTAACTGGCTTCATTCGGCTTTTCCAGCACATACAAATTGCCAGTCCACCCCTGCTGTGAGGTTTTGTTAAATGTGTTTTATGTCAAAGAAAAATTTCCCCCAGCAGCTGGAACAGACAATTAAGATGATCTATCTGTAAAGTTTATCCATCTATCAATCCTCCTTAATGCATTTTCATTTTAGGTGCACTCTGATGGATGAAAGAGGATGTCCCATTCACACTGGGTAAGAAAAACATGTTGTTTCCTTTTATTACATTGGATGAGTCTCTTATGTTCCTATAGTCCTAAATTACATTAAATTTACTCTTGTGCGCTTTAAACCATATTATAATGCTGTTACTTCCTCAAAAATATACCTGGAGTTGAGTTTTGTTTCATTCACACATGTTATATAGTAGCCCTGCATAATTAGTCTGTCTGCATTACCAAAGATCAAAATGCTTTGTTCCACCTTGTGATGTCATGAAGCAGCTACCTTTTGCCTTTTCTTTTGTAGAGACTGATACTTCCAGGACTGAAATTATCCAAATGATTCTGGTTAATATGTATGAAGTTTTAATACACAGTGGAGCACTTCCTGTAATTCCTGTAATTACATGACATCACAAGGTCACAGCCTAAATATGCAGGGTTTGATCAGGAAACAAGTGTAAAACATAGATTATATGGGCCTTTTCAAGGTAACTTTTCTGGTCAGAGATCTGTTAACAGCTTGTATTTATTGAGGTTTGTGAGGTCCCACAATAACAACATATGTAAATGCACTATTTAGACCAGGGACAACCATTGCAGCTGCCGTTGGTGGTGTGGTGCTGTTCTGTATCCTCTTGGCTCTGCTAATTTTTTACCTGAAGAGACAGAAGAAACTGAAGAAGAAGGAAACTCTGAGGAGAATCCTGCAGGAGCATGAGGTCAGAGTCTTAAGTTTGGCTTTAGAACAGAAAACGGACACTGTAAAATATATTTCATTTCCAAAGCACATGCACTGTTCTTTACACTGTTTCAGTGTAAATAATAATAAGAATAAATCTGTTATATTATTTTTGTCCAGTTGGTGGAACCTTTGACTCCCAGTGGCGCATCACCAAACCAGGCTCAGATGAGGATCCTGAAGGAAACTGAGCTGAAGAAACTGCGAGTGCTCGGAGCTGGGGCTTTTGGTACTGTCTACAAGGTGAGGTGTTCATATCATTACCCTTTCATCTGTTACATACATATTAAGTGAGTGTCATTGTTTCATGCAGTGTTTTGTTTACAGGGTGTGTGGACCCCTGATGGAGAAAATGTAAAAATTCCAGTGGCCATTAAAGTTTTACGAGAGAACACTTCACCAAAGGCGAACAAAGAGATTTTGGATGTGAGCATTTTCTCATAGTCGTTCTCTGTCAGTAGGATTCAAATACACTATTATACTCTATACTCTGTGTCTACTGCATGTTCAGGAGGCATATGTGATGGCTGGAGTGGCCAGTCCTTATGTGTGTCGTCTCTTGGGGATCTGTCTGACCTCCACAGTTCAGTTGGTCACTCAGCTCATGCCCTATGGCTGCCTGCTTGACTATGTCCGAGAAAACAAAGACCGGATTGGCTCTCAATTTCTACTCAACTGGTGTGTCCAGATTGCCAAGGTATGAACAAATTGTAACCATTGTAATTGTAATTGTTATTACCGTAATATAAAATGATAGTATTTTGTTATAGGCTTGTAACAATAATTTCTATATCAACTTATTGTTCAATACATGAAAGCTGGAACAATATATTTTGGGGCTCAATATTTTATCTATCTATCTATCTATCTATCTATATATCTATATATCTATCTATCTATCTATCTATCTATCTATATATATATATATATATATATATATATATATATATATATAATGTACATTTTGAGCTGTAGAGAGTTCAGTTAATAACTTGTAAAGCAATAGTCTGACTCCTCCATCATGAACGACTTAAACTTATATTATATTAACATTATACTTAAGCTATTGTTTACACAAGATGGATCCATTGTGTGTTTGTTTGTTTAGGGAATGAGTTACCTGGAAGAGGTGCGTCTGGTTCACAGAGATCTGGCTGCCCGAAATGTTCTGGTCAAAAACCCAAACCATGTGAAGATCACAGACTTCGGCTTAGCTCGACTCCTCGATATAGATGAGACTGAGTATCACGCTGATGGGGGGAAGGTAATGAAGTTATGTGAATACTTGTACAACAGCAATCATGTTTATTTCTTTGGTGTAACAGTCACTCTTATCACTTAATGGTGTGCATTTTATATTTTGATTGTAATGCGGCTAAATTTTGTGATATTTTGTTTTAGGTCCCAATTAAATGGATGGCCTTGGAATCTATTCTACACAGAAAGTTTACTCATCAGAGTGATGTTTGGAGCTATGGTTAGTGCCACAAGAAATACTTAATTAGATTTCTTATCCAATTTTTGTTATTCCTCTTTACAAAAATGTGTTCATGTCCTTTTCAGGGGTGACAGTGTGGGAACTGATGACATTTGGTGCTAAGCCTTATGACATGATCCCAGCAAGGGAAATCCCAGAAGTCCTGGAGGGAGGAGAGAGACTGCCCCAACCCCCCATCTGCACCATTGATGTTTACATGATCATGGTTAAATGTTAGTACTATGTTTTTCTGTGTGAAAAGATTGGTTTAATTATAGAAATTAGATATTCAAAATAATAAAAATTACATTTTCAATTTAAAAGCTAACTTATAGATATTTGATATAGGTTGGATGATTGATCCTGAGAGCAGACCACGCTTCAAAGACCTTGTGAACGACTTTAGTGCCATGGCCAGAGATCCACCTCGATATGTTGTCATACAGGTACTTTATATATACATTACATAAAATGATGTTATTTTAAAATAAATAAATAATGGAAAAATGCATTGTGAACATACAGATACACTTAAATATAAACTTTTTCCCTGTCAGAATGATGAGCAGATGAGCACGTCCAGCCCGGTGGACAGTCAGTTCTTCCGAATGTTGATGGAGGAGGAGGGCACAAACATGAGTGAGCTCTTGGATCCCGATGAGTACCTGGTCCCACAGCCAAATATGTTCCAGAGGAGTCAGACAGACGGGGTCCAGTCCAACGGGCCGTCCCGACATCAGTCATACAGGGTCAGTATGTGCTACTTTTATTTATCTGTGAACTTTGAATTCAGAAATCATGTTTTCTTGTAATGTAATATAAGTACTAAACAATATCACCTCATCAGTAAAATACTGGTCCTGTATCCTTTTGCACAGTGCAGTGTGTTGTAAAAGCAGCTATCTGAAAAAAAAGTAGACTATGGTATTACATGCGCTTTGATGAGAACAATAGTGTCAGCTGCACATGATGCTCAATTTTGCCTGTTTAGGCACTTTGTTTGGTGAGAACATTGAGAACACACTACTTGGTTCACTGGTCTCCCACACAGAGAGAGAAGTCAGGCCAAAATTTTAATATAGTTTCACAATAAATAAATACACATTCAAGACATTTCAGTCTTGAGGGGGCAATAATTATTGCTTTAATAAATTCAAAGGTCATGTGTTTTTTGTACGTAGGTTAGGATGGCTGATTTAAACAATATTTTTGTCTATATCATGTAGAGCCGAGACCAGGGTTTGGATTTGGACTCTTCTCTCACTAATGGCCCCCGGAGTATGACCTCTTCCATGAACACTCTGAGCAGGGCACAGTACCCCACCCTGCCCCTAGGAGCCAGTACTTCAAACGGACCGTGGTCGCAGTATCCGACCCTGGCCCGCAGCCCCTCAGCAGGAGGCCAATCAGACTCTGTGTTTCTGGATGGGTCACCGGACAACCCATCACTGCCCCCTGCTAGCCCAGGTCGGTACAGTAAGGACCCCACCTATCCCAATGGCAGCCTGGGAGATTTGGAGACAGATGGTCCTGTCACGTTCCCAACCCCCCATTATCTCCATCACTCCCTTCCCAGACCTCATCGGTATCATGTCAACCACGCCCTACCAGGTGAGATTACAAAAGTAAATTTATTCTAGTAGTTTAATTTAGTAGTTGGTAATGACATACATACTTTTCATCAGTGAAGAAAGTCTTTATATAGATTTGCTGAATTATAGGTCATTATAGTAATTCTTGTGACAGGCCTAGTGATTCCTATATAACTATATACTTTACGTTCACTGTGTGTCTTTTTTCTCTTTCCAGAATATGTCAATCAGGATATTCACAATCTTCGGTTAATGATGCCAGAGCGTCCCACCACACTTCCTCGGAAAGGCTCCAAAATCGACCGCCGACTCCCCAACGGCCTCAGCTCGGGACATAGTGTGGAAAACCCTGGATATTTGGTCCCGAATGCCTCAGGGACATCTACCTCTCCTGCCTTTGATAACCCCTATTATTTGGACCTTGTGGCAAAGCCCAAAGCCATTGCATCTCCACCGCTGGAGGCCAATGGGGACCTTGAAACAGACAGAGACGCAGTTTCTCGGCAGCTCAATGGTTTTGTAACGCCCACAGCAGAAAACCCGGAATATCTTGGCCTAGCGGATACATGGAGTGGTTATACTTGAGGAATTAACCTAGATGGACATCCCGGACTGAACACAGGGATATTGAAGAAGTGAATGTTATGTAGACAAATACATAAAATACATTTACCAGTATACTCAAGGGTCTGAAGTTAACAGTTAAATCTCAGTTATTGTAGCATTCATTTTTTACATCAACGTCATCACCCTCTTTTTCAATAGTAGTCTCTCTTATGAGTTCCATAAAAATTCACGGCACCTCTTCGTGACAATACAGACTTCACAAGTTTATGAATAAATATGAATGAAATGACTAGAATGCACTACGGAGAGTATTACACTTCTGTAATGGACAATCTTCATCCTCAGACTGCAATACGGATGTTCACATTTTTGTACGTTTTATGTTTACTGTCTGTGACGTTTTTATACCTGATGTAATGGTACTTCATCTGACAAAAGAAAACATCTATCCAAAATACATCGACAAAGCAGGCTGGGATATGCATTGAGTCCAGTGCTTAGTATGCATGTCACTGTGCCCAGGACTTGATAGTGTTCACTCAAAGCCGTTTTGTTTGGGACGGAGAAGTGCCTGCAGCCCATCTGGCCAGTAGACATGCTCCGAGGAAGAAAGCACTCAGTGTATCCAAGACAGAGTCTTTGTACCACTCTGATGTATGTGGGAGGCTATGACTATTTTCTCTCAATGCAAAAAATGTATGGTACTTAATCAAACTGCAGAACATTTTAATACATTTGTTCAGGGAGATCCTTAAGAATGCACTGTCAAATACCCCCTACTACCTTATAATATGGAGAAATATTATATTGGGGGATTCAAGTATATGCATTGAGTTAATATGCCTGAAAAAATATGTGACAGAAACTCTCTATTCAAGATAGGGGAATGCTTTCCTTTTGGTTTTGGTTATGGTTCAGATTCCTTTCAGTGGACACACTGGCATCCCAGTTAATGATCAACAGCATTTTTAAAGACTTTTTAAGGCTGTTGAACTCTGGGGGAGGTCGGACAGTCAATGCTCCCATTGTGAGACCCCCATCCTCGATGCAACAACTCAACCATTGATATTGCCACAACAAAGGTGTCTGGAATAGATGGTTTACTAATGATGACTAATTTGGTAATTGATTCATGCAACAGCTTTTGAGTCAGAAGGGAGTAATTGAGTGTGATTTCAGATTTGAAAATTTTATTTAACATGATCCCCCACTACACACAATTTTCCTGAAGGTAGGTTTTCATTCATGGTCTACTCTATGCTAACACTGGAATTTAGATATTAATGAAAAGGGCATGAAAAGTTATGGCAATGTGCAATTTTCAAACCTAAATTATAAAGCCTTTCCTTATTCTGAAACCAAATTGCCACAAAATGGTTTGCATTACTATTTCAAGTAAGCAAAAGAGCTAT